GGGTGATGGTATATTGGCTTTGACATTTACCCCATCCTCACAAAGTCACAGTTCAGAGTTCTTTTATTTATTTTTTACAAGATATTCTGATGTCCTTCTTTATTTAACCAAGATAAACCTTTATAATTTTACCTCTCATTTATGAGGGTGTCTTGGCAAAGACAGCAGATCAATAGTAGCAAAATACAACAAACATTTCAAAAATATATATTTCACATCAACAAAATACAGTATAAGCAGGTGTAAAAACTATATTATTAAAATAATGAAACAAGAGGGTCAGACAATGAGCTTATTACGTTTGTGCTGCAGTCCTAACAATAGTAACAAAATTCATCAAAATTAAAAACATTTATGTCAAAAAACTTTTTGGATTTATTTCAATTTACTCAGCGAGATAAGTTTTAAGGGCAGACATTTGAATGTTATTTTATCAACAAAAAGGCAAATAGTTTTGTTGTTGAGAATATGCCTGTGGTTAAATCTACAAAAGGACGAAGTGGACCACAGAAGCGGAGAACATCATGACGACTCAGTTTGAAGGTTTGTAATGAACATCAGAGTTCCAGACTGTATTATGAAGAACTTCAATTTCCAAACTCACCGTAACTGTAGACTCTTTGTTTTGTTTCCGGGCAGGCGACGTTGACCCCGGGCTCTGCAGAAAAAAGAAGCACGTCCCATCAGAACTTCCATCGTCTGTGCCGGACATTACTAGTGAACGTCCACACTTTGTCAGTCAAACATTAACACGAGCAGGTAGTTTCCCAACGAGAGCTGCTGGTGTCAGACTGCAGCTCTTTCTGCTCCTGATAATACTGAATGAGAGTGGGAGCGTGTTGAGTTTWTGTGTGTGTGTGTTGTTTTGCAGAGTAGGATAGTTGCACAGAGAAAGCAAACCATGATTTGTTTTCCTCTTTTTTGTGTGTTACTTTGCATATTTGTGTTTCTGTGCTGTTACTCCCACTTCAACTGAGAATCTGAATAAACCAGTCAGTGTGTGTTTAACATGAAGACATAAACTGTATACAAAAAAAACCTATTCCAGTAAACTTTGAAGAGATGTACTGTAAAATAGCTATCAATAGTTATCAGCCATAACATCAGTAGCTGTTTTTCCATTGAAAATGTGCACAAAACTTTGTTGATATTCTGTTAATGTCGAAAAAACACAGTTTCACAACTGCTGTG